CCCGCGTCCGGAAGGGCCTGCTGCGACGGCGCTGGAGGCGGAGGCCGCTCCTGGCTCGGGGAGACGCGTTTGGTGAAGGGGGGCAGGGCTGACGCGCACCCAGCTCGACCCGCTGAGGCAGCTGCCGGGCCGTTTGGACTTCGCGGCTGCTGCCTCCTGTTTCAGAGCCAGCCTAGCTGTATGAGCGCCCCCTGGCCCCCCCAAGCTTCACGTGCCGCCGGAAGACGCGTTGCAATAAATTCTGATTTCTTAGAAAAGAGTTTGATCAGGGGAGGCAATTCGTTTTATGTATCGGTTTAAATTTTTTAGCGGAGGTAGTGGGGGTTAGAACCAGGACCCTGTGCCCACTAGGCATGAACTCTACCACTGAGCTGCACCCTCCCTGCAGTTCTAAGCGTTTCTGAAGCTCTGCCATCAAGACGAAGTTGTCCTCTTGCTCATGCCAGCCTAGGGGTGAGTCTGAGTGGCAGTGATGAGGGGAATGAGCAGGTCAGGCCAAGAGAGACACGACGAAACGCTAACAGCGAACAGAGCCAGTCCCACGCTCCCCAGGGGTGTCCCAGTGGAGGGGGTGACACCGTCAAGCCCCAGCTTACCTGGCGGGGATGAGGCTGTGATCATGTCCTGGAACGTTGTGAGAGCGTTCTGGGTGGAATTGCCTAATACGGGTCAAGTCTGAAGCGGATAATCACCTTTCAGACTAACACAGGTGACTCTGATGCATCTTAATTCAGTGCAAGAAAATTCAGCTGTGCTTCTGTGCGTTGAGGACATGCGTTAGACCATGAAGATCTGGCATGAATAGCGAGGGAGCTGGGGCATCGCCAAGACGAGGGAGGGTCCAAATGAAATTCATAATCATTTATGAAAAAAAAAGTGTGTTTTTCATAACTCTTTCGTGCCCTAAACTTCACTACTTAAATGCAGTGGTAAAGGAAACTGAATGTTCAAATCACTTGTAATATTGACGCTAAGATGGCGGTGGAGAAGTATACTGAAACAACAGAATGAACGCAAGCCAGAGCAGACAGCATCCCGGTATGCTGTCTTCCTTTCAGTTGTCCGAAGTACGTAGTTTGAAAATGATAATCCAGGGAGGGGAAAAAATGTATAAAATCAGTCTGGGATCTTTAACAGACTTTAGAAGACAGAAGTCATGAGTCTGAAGCTTGTCAAACACAAGAACATTCTCCCGCTGAACAGGGGTTTTATGCATCTGTTTCCAGTGGGAACAGCAGCAAAGACACGTATCTAACGAAGGGTGTGGAGATGTAGCTCTGTATTAAACGTGTCCAGCACCGCAATCTCTGGCTTCCCCTCCAAGACGACTCCAATACGTTGATCTGTTTTCAGAAACAAGCAACGACCTTTCCTCCTCTTCGTGTCCTTCCTGCACGTTCACACGCCTCTGATCACCACCGAGAACTTCCGAGGGAGGAGCCGCCACGGGCTGTACGGGGACAACGTGGAAGAGATGGACTGGATGGTGGGTACGTACCTGTTCCAGGTGAGACCATGATGGTTCCTGCTCCAGAAACAGCAGGAGGACGGGAGATAAAGACTGAGAAGAGGGGACTAATAAGATGACCCATAGGAGAGGCGTCTCCTTGAACGTCAAAGGTCCTCTTTGCTCCGTGTTGTTCTATTTCTCTTTTTCAGGTGGGTTGATTTTCTGTTTCCCCCCAGGAGAGGGTAGAACCCCTGTGGGTTGGGACCACCTCGCTGTCTTCTCCAACTGCGTCCCCTGTTTAGAACGGTGCCGGGTGTAACAAAAAGTGAACGTTTCTTGAGTGAGTCAGTGGTCTCACAAGATGCCCCTTCCCTGCTTCTCGGATGAAGGCTTGGCACCCGTGGGTTTGTGTGGTGATGGGCTGCAGAGATTGTCATCAGAGATTTGTAGGGAGAAACATATCTTAAAAATATTTTCACGGTGTCCTCATGGACTAAAACACGGGATGTGAGAACTTGGAACATGCTTGTGCAATGATTCAAGTCACCTCACATCCCCAGAGGGCACGGCCACTCTCCCTCTGAGACAAATCCACTCACCTTTGCTTCTAAGGGTCCTTGGGTGGAGAAGATGAAGAATCTATGGGAAATGTAGGCTGTTTTATGTGATGTCACAGGCTGAGGGCTTAAAGCGGAATTCACAGTGCCACAATTTGAGAAAAAATAAATCTTAAAGGAATAAACGTGCAAATGTATGCGATCAAATACTTGCTGAATGATAAAGAATGAAATTTTACGGTACAAAAAGAACCCGGAGGTTCATCAGGATAAGGAGCTTTTTATGAGAGACATTTAACGACTCTTTGCAATGTCTTCCTTTTTTCTACGTCTCAACTTAAAAGTCAAGCAACTGTATAATGCTTTTTTTTTTAGTTTTTGTGTGCTACATTATTATTATTATTGTTGTTATTATTATTATTAGGCAAGTAATTAGGTTTATTTATTTTATTTATTTCAGTGGCGGTACTGGGGATTGAACCCAGGACCTCGGGCATGCTAAGCACACACTCTACCACTAAGCTATACCCTCCTCTCATATGATACTTTTTAAATTAAAATCACTTAATAATGTAGGTGGGTGGAGTTCAGGAATCCATTAAGGCAGTGAAACTCTTCCATGTGACAACGTTGGCAGATACGAGACATTTTGTGTGTCTTTATGAAAAGCCACAGAAGGCACAACCCAAACAGTGAACCCTAATGCAAACTGAAGACTTTAGTTCATAACAGTGCATCCGTATTGGCTCTCCAATGGTTATCTGTAAACCCAACACTGTTCTAAAAAATAAAATCTACTCATGAGGGGGGAGAAAAATCAATAGCGGTACAAATTTAAAAATCCTTGTCTGAAAGGAAGCAACTTAAGAGGAAGAAATGGCCAAAGAACAGATGGAACACATTGAAACACACACACACACACACACGCAAGCAAAAACCAAGGGCAATACAGTTGATTTAAAGCTAACCATATGGATAACTGTGTTGAACACAAGTGCTCTAACACACCAACTAAAATTCAGACATGGTCAGACTGTATTTAAAAAAACAAAAAGCAAGACCTAACCCCAAGGAAATACATTTGTTTCTTTTAAGTTTGTAACTTTTCAAAAATTGAAGTATAGTTGTTTTACAATTTTGTATTCATTTCAGGTGTACAGCAAACTAACTCATATATATATATATATATATATATATATATATATGAGTTATATATATATATGTATATGAAATCATATACATATATATATATGATTTCATATTCTTTTCCATTACAGTTTATTACAGGATATTGAATACAGTTCCCTGTGCTGTATAGTAGGTCCTTGTTGTTTATCTAGTTTATATACAGTAGTGTGTATCTGCTAATCCCAAACTCCTAATGTATCCCTTCCCACTCTCCCCTTTGGTAACTAAGTTTGCTTTCTGTGTAAGTCTGTTTCTGTTTTGTAAATAAGTTCACTTGTGTCAATTTATTTGTTTTTAGATTCCGCCTGTAAGTGAGATCACACAGTGTTTATTTTTCTCCGTCTGACTTACTGCACTAAGCATAATGCCCTCAAGGGCTATCCATGTCGCTGCCAATGACAGGATTTCCTTATTCCTCTAGACTGAGTCATATTTTGTTGAATATATTTATCCAGTCATCCATCAATACACACTCGGGTTGATATTCCATGCAAATAGTTATCAAAAAGAAGCTGGGGGAGTGGTTGATGATATTTGTCTCTCTCTGACTTACTTCACTTAGTATGACAATCTCCAGGTCCATCCATGTTGCTGCGATTGGGAATATTTCATTCTTTTTTATGGCTGAGTAGTATTCCGTTGTGTAAATACACCACATCTTCTTTATCCAGTCATCTGTTGATGGACATTTAGGTTGCTTCCATGTCTTGACAATTATAAACAGTGGTGCTGTGAACACTGGGGTGCATGTGTTTTTAACTCTAAGAAAGAGACTCACCATTGAAGACCGTGCTTCACTGCTGTGCATACGTCTCAATGCCATTATCAGCCTCCTTCCTAGACCCGCCTATCCTTTTTTCTCTGTAAGCTCTTTTGCCAAACTTTTACATTGTTATTATTTTGTCCTATGGAGCGCATACCTTTCCAGCTTTTCTAAAGCTTTTTGGAAACAGGGCAGGACATGTATAAAGATGTATTTCAATCTTAAATCGAGGATGCTTAAAATTCCACAGTTATATAAGTGCTTGCTCCCAGGATGCTGTAATACTTAAGAGTCGTTCTCTTGAAGCACCCCAGAATGCTAAAGCACATGCTGAGTGACGTAGTTTAAGAGCGTTTTCTATTTTGTCTGGCTCAAATGCATCTATTCTTTGCAGGGCAGATACTTGATACTTTGGACGCAGAAGGACTGGCCAACAGCACCCTTGTTTACTTTACATCGGATCATGGGGGGTCCTTAGAGGCTCAGTTTGAAAACCAGCAATATGGCGGCTGGAATGGGATATATAAAGGTAAGGATGAGCCATGCCCAGATCCTTACCTGTGGTCTTTATCTCATCCCGATAATTCCCAACCGTTGCTCTGGAATGGGGCCGTCCACCTGAAGATAAACAGAAAATACTGCTACCCAGGAACTATGCTTTTCTATTCAGGACAGAAATTATAATTTGTCATGATCAGATTTGATTTTTTCTTCTTTTGCATAGTTCAGTGATTTTTGGCCTTCTCAGAATTGTGCAACCAGCACCACAATCTAATCACACATTTTCATCACCTCTAAAAGAAATCCAGAACCTATCTGTAATCATTTCCTGTTTCCTCCTGTGCCCAGCTGCTAACTTACTTTTATCTCTCTCTACTTCCTTATTCTAAACATGGAATCACACCCTGTGTGTCCTTCTGTGTCTGCTTCTCTCATGGAGCATCCTGTGTTCAAGGTCCATCCACGTGTATCATGCGTCACAGCTTTACTCCTTTTCCTGGCTGAGTAATATTCCCCCATGTGGCTGGACCATTTTCTGCTTACCTATTCATCAAGTGATGGACTCAGTTTGAATTTTTACATTCAGGCAATGCATTCAAGGAGGGTGGGCACCCAGAGTGGCCACATTATCTCCAAACTATGATTCTACTGATTATAAGAACATCATTATTTGATATAACACAAATATTCTAAAACATGCTGCCAAAAAAAAAAAAAGCCAAACCTGGCATACTTCTTTTTTTCACCTACAGAACTTAATTTTTTTAATTGAAGTATAGTCTATTACAGTGTATCAATTTCTGGTGTACAGCACAGTGTCCCAGTCATGCATATGTATACATGTATTCATGTCATATATTTTTCATTAAAGGTTATTACAAGATATTGAACATAGTTCCCTGTGCTCTACAGAACAAATATTTTTTTCTATTTTTATATATAGTGGTTAACATTTGCAAATCTCAAACTCCCAATAATTTTTTATTCAGTGTGAAAAATTCATTTAGACTGATGCTCATATACATATTTAACATGCAGCAGCCTATCACATACATAAAAGCGAATATATAACTATGCAAATTAAATATTTGCTTCGTCACGTTATTCTTCCATAGTCTAAGTAGCTGCATGAATAGGAAAGCAAATTTCTTTATTTAAAATATCAATTTGTTTTCTTTTACTATGCTTTTTGGAATGTGGGTCCGTTTAAACAATTCTCAAGCAAAAATTTCAGGAAAAAATTCACCCTGAAAAATCTAAAAATAAATGTATTAAATGACCTTAAAAAAGAAGAATGTCCCCAAAGACGTCCACATCCTGATGCCCATGTGGCAGACCACCACCACCCAGATTAATAAGGAAAATAAAGTCTAAGCAGCGCCAAGAAGGAACTAAATGTCAGCATGCAATTAAAAGGAAGAGACAGGGAGAGAAGGACAGATTGAAAAGAAGTAGAAAGTTTAAATGACCCAGGAAGGCAACCACTTGTGATCTTCAGTCACCTTGTTTTCTGTTCATGTCCCAACCCAGGTGGCAAAGGCATGGGCGGCTGGGAAGGCGGGATCCGCGTCCCGGGGATCTTCCGGTGGCCCGGGGTGCTGCCGGCCGGCCGAGTGGTCCACGAGCCCACCAGCCTGATGGACATCTTCCCCACCGTGGTCCGGCTGGGGGGCGGCCAGGTGCCCCAGGACAGGTACGGAAGACGGCAGCTCAGTTTTGCATAGAGGCAACACCACGTATGTGGAGTGTCTCTGTCCCTCTCGCTTGGCATAAGGCATCCGTGAGATCGGTCTCTGGAAAGAGCGCCCCATCGATACCGCCTGGAATGAAGCGTCGGCTTCATTTTATGCACAAAATGTCCTCCCTTCTCCTGATTGTTAAGTGGAGCCATTGGGGCATAGGGACAATTGTCGCTGAAATTCCAGCCATGAATTTCCTCCCTATTCATCCACCACAAGAAATTCCTTTGGATGGAGCATGGCAGGGACTTTTTACGATTCCAATTTCTCTTGCTCTAAAAATTATAGAAAGTGCAGGGAAATTGAAAGAAATCAAAGTTATTTCATAATCTTTACATCATACACAAGGGTACAGTTAAGTTATATGAGACCTATCTATTATATGTATTTAGAAATATTTTATGTTTATTTATATAAATATATCTAAGTATACAGCTATCGATGTACGTACCGACATCTGTTTAGAAATCTTTGCGCGTGGACAAAAATTTTAATGGTTTCACGGTACCCTTTCAACCATCTTCGTACAGGTAGACTTAAGCCTTGTTCTTTTTTATTTAAAATTCCTGCTTTGTCCATTGACTGCTTGTCATAATTATCTTCTTAGCAAAAATCCAGACAAGTTAAATTCCTGTGTCAAAAGTGTGTGGCCATTTGGCAGGTAACTCTCTTGATACATTTTGTCAAGTGGTTCCCTAGGAGTTGCTCCTGGCCATCTGTGAGATTACCATAAAAATAACTGAAGTAAAATCAATTTAAGTTACACATGTGATTTATTTATTAAATATATACATGACACAGATGTGTGTCTACACATATACATATATGTGCGTGTTATACCTTCCATCGCTATATCTGCAGAGAGGTTGACTATTCTACACCTTTCTTTAGCTCACATTTTCCTGTGTCCTCTTCTCTTAGGTTGAATACCATGCCTCTGGTTGATTTCTTTGTCCTAATTGCCTGCTAGTTTTTAAAACTAATTTATAACAGCTCATTTGTTTTAAAAGTAAAGATCTCTCTGTAGTGTATACTGCAAATGTGTTTTACTGGAAGGTAAGATAAATTCAGCCATATACTGTAGCTTGGTTTTATTTATATGTAAGTGTGTATATAGATATATACATGCTCATAAACACATACATATGTAAACATATACATATGTGTGTATGTGCATAAGAATACACATATTTGCAAGTGAAATTATATATATATATTCTGCCTACACATGGTGTATATATATGCCATATATCATGTATCTATATGGTGTGCATATAGACCATCTGATGCATATAGACATGGTATATGGTATATGGCATGTATATCTGGTATGCATTTATATGGTATATCTATGGTGTATGGATATCGTGTGTGTATATGTGTATATATAGTACACATATTGAATATGCAGAGCGCAAATATTGTGTATATATATTGCATATACAGTGTATATGTTGTGTATACAAGTGTACATATTGAATACGCAGAGCACATATGTTGTGTGTATATTGTATATACAGTGTATACGTTGTGTATACATAGTATACATAGTGAATATGCAGAACGTGTATACTGTGTATCTATTGTATATATGTATTTGTAAGTAACGACATACATTGTGTGTACATATATTGAATGTACATAATATATATGCAGGTAAATTTTCTTTTATCATATATGTTTATGAAATGATTCCAAGTCTTGTTGAAGACTACAACACATTCTATAATGACTCAAAGCTCAAGTCAATATAAAGCCAGCACGTTTCCCTGGATGTTAACCCATTTCTGCATTCCTAGCTCTCTTTTCTTTTTTTCCTTAACGGAGGCACTGGGGACTGCGTCCCCGGCCTCGTGCACGCCAAGCACGTGCTCTAGCACTGAGCTCTGCCCCCCGCCCTCTTGTCTGTGCGATCCTAAGTAGGCTGCGTGGACCATCCCTTCAGCCGAGCAAGCTGGACCGTCAGTGACCTTTTAGCCAAGGGTGAAGTTTGCAGGCACGTGGTAGGGTGGCTGCTCCTTGCTAAGGTGCGCACCTGCCCCTCCCTGAGCCCCTGCGCTCCTGCCCGCAGGGTGATCGACGGCCGGGACCTGCTGCCCTTGCTCCTGGGGACGGTCCAGCACTCGGAGCAGGAGTTCCTGATGCATTACTGCGAACAGTCTCTGCACGCAGCCCGGTGGCACCAACGGGACAGTGAGTAGGCTGCGGGAGGGAGTCACAGTGTGGCTTCCCTTCTCCGTCTCCTGCTTCTTGACGTCTTTCCTTTCCACACGAGCTCCTTTACTTCCTTCTTGGTGAGACTTTTCTTCTCACGTCAGCAACATCCTTCTGGCTGTCATTCATCCTATCCTTACGGGAAGGGAATTCTTACCTATGGTTTTTGCATTATTTCCCTGTGATGGGAAGAACCACTTTTATCACACACAACTTTTATCATCCCACGTAGATGCGTACACACACACATACACACACAGAGTCTCTTGCACACACTCAGGGCTTCCCACCTGGCTCTAAGCTTTGCAGTCTGTTCTCTTCACCTAGATTTGGTTTGCACATGTCTTCACCACCTTAACTGAATGCCACCAGCTCATATTTGTTGTAATAACAACTTTGTAATATAAGCGGCCATCTGCTTGCTGCATAATTTTCACATCTCAAACTTTTCCAGGCATATCTTGCCCCAAGAGTCTTTTTCCAGAGAACTGTAAAATCATTTCCAAGTCTTTCTTAATTCCAGAGGAACACCAATTGTCATCGCCTTCAGTGTATAAATGAGCGTGGTAGGGGCGGGGAAGTGATATCTTTACAATATTGAGTTTTCCCCAACTGCAATGTGTTATGTCTCTCCACTTCTTAGTTAAAAAGCATTCATTTCACGAAGTGTTTTATTCTCTCATGGGTAATTTCACTGTATTTTAATTGCCTTCACATTTATGCCTGGATTCCCCATCACCGCCCAAGTGGAGGTACCAGAGGTTTTCCGTTTCTATGAATCAGTTTCTAAAATGCAGCTCTTGGATTTGCATAATAACTGTATTTTTAACTTTGGTGGGGGGATTAATTACATTTTTTTTTCAGTGGAGGTACTGGGGATTGAACCCAGGACCTCATGCATGGTAAACATGCTCTCTGCCACTGAGCTATACCCTCTCCTTGTAATTTTAAATTTTATAAATATTTGATTCTGCTTCTCTTTGGTCTTCAGATAAAAGTTTCCCCTTTTTCAGTCTTTTCTCTTCATTTCTGTTTCCCTCCCTGTTACTCTGCCTCGGCCTGACAGTTTATCCCTTTTTTGAATTTGCCTCACAGACCTTTCTTCCAGGGTTTGGGAAGGTTTCCATCCCTTTGTTTCCTCATTTTTTTTTATCCTTACTCTTTTTTCTTCCTTCCTCAAAAGCAGTCTCTGAATGTCTCCAGTTTTCTGGATCAAGACTGAAAGACTTAGTCTTGGAATCCCCTTTATTTCAGAAAGTTACCATAGATTTTTTTTTCAATCTCCCTGTCTTTCCTGTCCATCCTTTTCAGTAGTGTTATAATCTGGGATGATTTTTTTTCTTGCTACATTTTTTTAAATTAAATATTATCAGTTTCCCCTTTTATAACTTTTCAAAAACTTTGTGGGAGGGTAATTAAGTATTTATTTATTTTAATGGAGGTACTGGGGATTGAACCTAGGACCTCGTGCATGCTAAGCACACAGTCTAACCACTGTGCTATATCCTCCCCCTCCCCCTTTAAAGACTTTTTCTTGAGACTTTCAATTGCACAGCTCAATCTAGAAGCATTGACGCTTAGGGATGATTTTTTATTGCTACATCTTTGCTTTTTTAAAGTTACATATTATAGATTTCTCCCTGTAAGTTTTTTTCACTCTGGTGATCTCATTAATTCTAATTATCTACCAAAGTCTCTACTTCCTAAACCCATCACATTGGAGGTCAGGGCTTCCACATATAAACTTGAGGGGGACACACACATTCCATCTGTATTATTCCCATATCCTAAAATCCACACTTTTCAAGAGTAAAATTGAGCAACATTTAGCACATTCACAGTGTTTTGCAACCGTCACCCTGTCTAGTTTCAAAACACTTTCATCACCCAAAAGGGAAGCCTCGATCCCATTAAAAAAACAATCATTCTACATTCTGCTTCCTGCAGCCCCTGACTAGCCCTGACTTTCTTTCTGTGCCTGTGGATTTGCCTCTTCTGGGCATTTCCTATAAATGGAATCACACCCTGTGTGTCCTTCTGTGTCTGCATCCTCTCACAGAGCATCCTGTGTTAAAGGTCCACCCATGCTGTAGCCTGTGGCGGAGCCTCACCTTTTTCCTGGCTGAGTAATATTCCCCTGTGTGCATGGACCCCATTCTGTTTCTCCGTCCATCCTTGGATGGACACTTGAGCTGCTTCCACCTTCTTCTTGTTGTGAATCACCGTGCTCTCCAGTAATGCGTCCTGTCTCTCCCCCTTCAATGCTTGTCCTTCCTCCAGGAGGAGCAGTGTGGAAAGTCCACTACATGACCCCCGTATTCCACCCGGACGGAGCCGGCGCCTGCTACGGGAGAGGGGTCTGCCCGTGTTCCGGGGAGAAAGTAGCCCATCATGACCCACCTTTGCTGTTTGACCTCTCGAGAGACCCTTCCGAGGCCCATGCCCTCACGCCGGACACGGAGCCTTTGTTCCATCAGGTGATGGAGCGAGTCGCCCGGGCCGTGGAGGACCATCGCCGGACGCTCAGCCCAGTTCTGCTGCAGCTGGACACGCCGGACAACACCTGGAAGCCATGGCTCCAGCCCTGCTGTGGCCCGTTCCCCTTCTGTGGTGCGATCGGGAGGCAGACCCAGGGTAACGCCCGCCCGGGGAAAGCTGGGTCCCCGGCCCCTGGAGCTCTTCACTGGCGTCACAATAAAACATCACTGTCAGGTCAAGTCAACTGCTTGTGCGGGGCTGAACAGTTCCCCCAGTTCTAAAGGGGAAGGGACGGGGAAGAAGTGGTAACACACAATCACCACGAAATAAAATGCACCCTTCAGGGGCTGCTGCCTGGACCACCAAACTGGAGAATAAACACTGCAGTTCTCCCTGCCACCTGGGGGAGGCTGCTCTGTCCCCAGAAAGAGCTCAGATCCCAAGCGAAGGTGCTTTTACATCATAAAGATGTGCAGAGAAACAGCAGGCAGGCACCGAGGGTCTGAGATGACTCTGATGAGGTGCAGGTGAGACCAGTTTCGAGAAGGTGGATAGATCATTTTCAACATTGACAAGGACAGACTATGTTTCAAACCAGAAGTATTTTCAAGCGACGATGCTTGGTGAAACAGTGCGCCGGTGATCTGGGGAAAGTCAGAATCTGGGAGCCGTGCTGGGTCTTCAGTGTCCTCCCCTCTCTATGGCCCGAGGTCACTGTCTGATGGGACTCCCTCGCCCCCTGGCTTTGCACTGCACCCCAGGATGGGACACCACCAGGAGGGAGAATGAGATGGGAAAGTTTAATTTACTATTTATTCCTACGACACCGCCTACCGCAACTACACCTCGTCTCAACTACTCTCTCTCTCTCTCTCTCCTCCCCTCCCTCCCCTCCCCTCCTCTCTCCTCTCTCTCTCTCCCCCCGCTCTCTCCCAGCTCCAGTCACCATAACAGAGTTCTGCAAAGGAGGGGTGGGGTTTAAACATCACACATTTATTTCTCCCAGTACTGGAGGCTGGAATCGGAGGTCAGGGTGTGAGCAGGGCTGGTCTCTCCTTGGTGTGTGGACGGCCGTCTCCTCCCTGTGTCCTCATATGGCCGTCCCTCTGTGTGTGTCTGGGTCCTCATCTCCTCTTCTTAGAAGGACCCCAGTCCTCTGGGATCAGGACCCACCTAGTGACCCCATTTTACCTTCATCCCCTCTTTGAAGACCCTCAAATACAAGCACATGGTGGGGGCAGGGGGCGGGGACGGTTAGAGCTTCAACATATGAATTTGCATGGAGACCCAATTTGGCCCATAATTCATTCTCTGCTGCGAGGTGGGGGCTGGCTTTCCAACAGTTCTTTCAGTCTCCAGATGCAAGAAACACCTGCCCAAGCCTTGGTACCGCACGAGCAGCCCGTACCTTGGCCATTCGGCATAAATCTGGCACCCTCTTGAATTCAGATTCACGTCCTGGTTGCCTGATTACAGGAGCCAAGTCTGCGGGGCCACCGGGCGTCTTTCAAAGCCTAATTTCCATTCCTGGGTTGTCAGACGTCTGCCCGAGAGCCCTCAAAAGCTCAAGTGCATTCTTTCCTGGGTGTGTCTGCCCTAACAAAGTAACAGCCCCAGGTAGTGCCTAATCTCACAGCACCTCACGCTGGTTCGTTCTAGTCCCGGCTCCACCGACCTTGAACTCCTTACCTCACCCACGACCAATCAGAACACTTGTGTGCAAGCTGATCACAGAGCCCCCAGCCCATTTTGTTCACCAACTCCTCCCCACCCCCCCTAAAAGCCCTCAGAACCGACCCCCGGGGCGCACACAGGCACCCCTCTCGTGTGTGTCCCGCAGAGACTGCGGCAGGCCTAGTAAACGCCTTTTTCCCTTACAGCCGGGGACACTGGCACGCCTTGTGCCAAACTCCTAAAATGATTGCTCCCTGTGATGGGTAACAGAGTCCCTTCCCCTCCTATCCCCTTTCCTCCCCCCCCCCCTTTTTTTCTTTTAAAAGGTAGGTACTGGGGATTGAACCCAGGACCTCCTGCCTGCTAAGCGCGGGCCCCACCACCACTTGGCAACACCCTGCCCTCCTACCCCGGCCCAGCCGGCGTCCATCAGCTGCTCCCTGGCCCCAGTCTCTCGGAGCGCCGCCCCCAGGAAGCCTCGCAGGAAAACCTGTTCGCAAGCTCAACTCCCTGGAGGCCACGGGAGTCTTTAAGAGGATTAGGGAGGGAGGGGGCGCAACGGACCGCGCAACTCCGGGGGCGGGTCCGGGACACGGCTCTGGG